ATAAAACCATAACAAGGGAAACAATAATAATCCTGTAACAGTAAAATGATCATTTATGCTTTAAAGCATGCTGGCAACTCCTAAATCCTTTACAAATCTGCAGTATTGCTCGATATCATAATGTTTGTCCGGCTGAATCTCCCTTAAGCTGTTTTTGGGGACAGTTTTTGGAGGAATATTGTTGGCCTAACATGTATTTGTACTGTATGTAGATTCAGTCATTCACAAGCCGTTCACATTTTCTATTATCTTTTATTCAAAATTAATGTTCAAGCAAGAATCTCAATAAGTATGTGCATGGTAGTCAGTTGCTCACATACAAAAGCTTGTTTGGTGGCCATTATAAGGTTTGTTTGTAGAAGGTTCATTTTTCTTTATTGCATTTTTTGTAGTCTGCAAAACTTTTTTAAAAAGTGTTTTTGCTGATAGAACTGTTTCAATCTTCTTTTAAGGTGACTTTGGTGTATCCTGTCTGCTGATAGGGTCGTGTGACCTGGCGACTTCCTTCACAGGCACTCCATACTACATGAGCCCTGAAGCCCTCAGTCACAGAGGATACGACTCCAAATCCGACATCTGGTAGGAATAAATGAACCATTAAATAATTTCTGTCTATTCTTAATCAACCAAGACTTTGGGTTTTGCATTGTGTGGGTTTTACATTTGCAGTACAGTACACATAATCAAAAGTTTGGACACACTTGACTGAATTTATGCTTCTCATGGTATTAAAAACCTTTTGATCTAAAGGATTATGCTTGAAATTTTTTGTGTTGAACAATATTCATAGGCAAAAAAATGGTCATTACATAATTATCATACACTGTAAAAAGATATTTTTGAAGTTAAACAAAGTAGTTTAATACTGTTTTTCAAATTTCACATTAAATTCAATGTGTTACTTGCAATTTCTTTGTATTATTTGTGAAATTTTAATAGCAGTTTCTGAGTAAAAATTGATTCTACACCATTTTTTAGTTTCTTAGATGTTATTTTTTTGTGATTTGTTAATTAATGTTCTAAAATTTAATATTCTATGAAAAATGGAAATAATAAAGATTGAGTAGATGCGTCCAAACATTTGGCTATTGATGGTTCTTCTAGCAGTTTTAATTCTCAGCAAGTAACTTGCAAAGTTATTCCCTCATTAAATCAAAACTCATAATCCTTTAAAACAATTCGTCATTATGCATCATGCAAAATTGCAAGTAATGAGGTATTATGTTTGATTGCTGTCAAATGGATGTCTTGAAAAATGTGTGTGTTCTGGCAATCCATGAAAGTAATTTTAACAAAAAAAATTTCTGAAAGATGCAATCAGGTGTAGTGGAAGGTGCAGGTGAAATATGGCAAGCATAATTAACATACATTCTGATATCTCCGGTTGCTTATTGAGCTGTAACACTCTGTATCTGAGCTGTGTGTATGTGTGGTAGGGTGGAATATAAATTCATGGCATGAGACACCAAAGGCACCAAAGCGAGGTTCCCCTATTAAAGATCTTCACTACACAGCCCCTTAACACCACCAGAGCTCTGTCCTCTCCTCCTCCTCCACTTACAGTATAGATATATGAAGGGAGGGAACATGGGGAAACAAGATCCACTGGGAAATAGTGGGATAACAGCATATTAGTAAAGTAGAAAAACTGAGGGGGGAAAATGACCAGAAAACAATAAGACAGAATGAAGAAGAAAGAGAGAAGACAATCTCATTTGCCAAACAGCTACAGGCACTAGCTGCTAATTTAAGGGTCATGCTTTTCCTCACGCAATCACCTCGTTGTGTATGTGCAACTGAGAGTTGAGGGTCTCTGTTCAGACTCATAAAGCAGCCTTTTGGGAATTGGACTCTTTACACTGTGGTCTCGAGTTTGTAAGAACACAAGCAGCAGGCACACTGGAGGAAAGGGTTCACTGTGCTGCTTAACAGAGACAGAGAGCAGAAGGATGAGCTAAAATAGAGACATCCTTACACAAATTATACCTATTTTTCTCTCTATTTTTTGTTTATTTTCAAATAGGGCAAGAGATTATAAATCTGTAATTCTTTAATTTTTTACTATAATTCTAACTGTAACTTTTATTGCAACAAAAAATGTATAAAAAAAAAAAACTGTCGCATAGCATATGTGACGTTTCGAGCACGCAGGCTCTTCATCAGACAAATGAACAACACTGATATCCCAATCTTTATAGGCCTACCTCCAGGTGATCAAAGGTCACATGACCGTACAATATTATCGTGATAATAATAATAATAATACCAAAACAATAACATTTTTGAAAAGATCTCAGTTTAGTTAATGTTAGTGTTGATACTACTAATATGCATATCACAAACCGTTTACTGCCATAATCGGACATATTTTAGGGAATAAAGCAGGATATTTAACAAGAAAATTTGCAAGGAATGTGCATTAGACAGACAGATGTTTTCAGAATTGTTTATCATTTGAAAAAAATAAAATATAGTGAGGAGCAGGCAAAAGCACGCACATCGATCTCAACTGGGTGCTCGACTAAGAAACAAGTGGAAACATTTTTGAATGTAAAGTCAGCAACACCAAAGCTCCAAAAGTATCAAAAAATTTATTTAAAAAAAAAAAACTGTCGCATAGCATATGTGACGTTTTGAGCACGCAGGCTCTTCATCAGACAAATGAACAACACTGATATCCCAATCTTTATAGGCCTACCTCCAGGTGATCAAAGGTCACATGACCGTACAATATTATCGTGATAATAATAATACCAAAACAATAACATATCAACCAAGGAGAAAAACATAGAAACAAAAATAAGAAAAATAAAAATAAATCAAAAACATATAAAGCTATGCAAAATACACGAATATAATTCTCAAAATATTGTTTAATAACATTAATTGATGCCTGCCTGGGTACATAAATACAAATCAATAACCACAAAGAGTTTATTATATGTAAATAGATATCTTATGTTTAAAGAAATGGACGAATATCAAAGTCCTCATTTAATCCTACTATAGACGAATCTTTTATAAGTGATTCCAATTCAGACAATTGTGCCTCCGTCAAATTATGTGCACGTTTATATTGTCTTTTAGATTTTAATATAGATACAACATCACTTTCTACAAGCCTACAATAAGTATCCAAAGAAGCATTTCTGTTTTTAAAGGGAATAAAGGTGGATTTACCTCTAAAACCAGTCCGATGTTGTTCACTAGAAATATAGTACCCAGGCAGGCATCAATTAATGTTATTAAACAATATTTTGAGAATTACATTCGTGTATTTTGCATAGCTTTATATGTTTTTGATTTATTTTTATTTTACGAATATAATTATCAATATATTGTTTAATAACATTAATTTATGCCTGCCTAGGTACATAAATACAAATCAATAACCACCTAGCGTTTATTATATGTGAATAAATATCTTGTGTTAGTTACATATAATAAACGGGCCCTGCCCACATTGCAAGCGACTACATTAATATAAATTAATCATAAACTTATTAATAATAAAATACAATTAGTACCGCAATTCTGAATAAATATATAAATTCGCATAAACTACATGTGTGCTTTAATGGTCTAAGTTAGCGGTAGAACTTTTGTCACGCATTTCCAAGGTTCTGGGTTCTAATCCACCCTCGTGTAGCTTTTTTTTCTCTCATTCAAAACAAAGGTGTTCATCAGTGATTGTATATCAAGAGCAGGGACATGTTTGTGTGCATTTTGTTTTGTGCTTTTACCAGAACAAAGCGTACGATCGTCTGTGTGAAGACTGCGCATTGTGCACGAGTGCAAGAGAGAACCGATAACAGCAACAACGAGCGCTCGCCATAACACATTCCAGCGATAGATCGCCTATTATTTAACACAGACCAACGAATTTGTTATCCAATGGAGATGTTTCTTTAGGTACATCCGTGCGTGCCGCGAGATGTTGCAAAAAGTGGTGG